TGGGATGAGGGCCAGAGATTTTGCACATCTCACAAGATAATGCTTATGTTGCCCACACTTGAAAATCACTGGCCTAGCCACTGAGGCTGTCTGATGGTGAACAACACTTGTGATTAATGTGGTTACAGTTAAGTCATAAAGCTTGAGAGTATTACAGTTTCTTTTAGATTATTTTGTAAATCTTTGTTCTATTTTTATCTAAACTCCTTCACTACCAATTTTCTAGAAGACACCTCAATATGAAAAACCACGGCACCTGGGTGGTTCAGTTGATTAAGTGTCTGCCTTCCGCTCAGGTCATGATCCCAGGGTCCTGGGATCCAGTCCTGTTCTGGGCTCCCAGGGAGTTTGCGGCTCCCTCTGCCCCTCCCCCTACTCATTCTCTCAATCTCATTTGCTCTTGCACTCTCTCTCAAATAAATAAAATCTTAAAAACAAAACAAAAACCATGCCACTATATGCACATACAATGACATAATTTTTTCTCCTTTGGGCTAGACTAGAAAATCTAGAATAATTCTTATTAAATGTTAGATCTTGAAGAAAAATTTAATTGTTTAACATTGTTGAGGACATGAATTCCTGTCTTCTTCAAGGTGCTTTTAGCTGCAGTAAGAATCAAAGTAACATGAGACAGATTAACAAGAAAATCAAATTTAACAGCATGTGTACAGAGGGAATTCACACAATCCTGAAAATTCCAAAGACAGTCAGGCAAAATGAGGTACATATGTCACCCTGAACTAAGTAGAAGTGGGTAGGGGTCCAGGACTTCCTCCGAGAAGGCATGCAATCCTCAGAAAAAAATTAAAAAGGGTCAATGTTTGGCAAACAAATGTTTGCTGGGCCACTCAGAAACAATGGGAATAAGAGAGGGCTTTGATCAAACAGGCCTTGCTAGGTTTCTCCTTTCTACCATACCTTACTATGTATCACAATGTGGAGATACCTCTCATCTTGGATGAGGTCCTCTATCTACATTCTTTTAAGGCAGTTATGGGGGGAAGTAAAGGGCTCTTCTTGAATCTGCTGGGTTTTGATTGCTTTTTAACTCAAAATAATCTTCATGCCAGAGTGCCCCATCTTGGGGCAGCCTCTATACTCCCCAAACTGTTCTTGCTGTACAAGAAAATCTGTCACATTGTTGCTCTCAGATCTCCTGTTTCATATTACACAGGCCCAAGAGGCCTCAGCTATTTTAAGTTGTTCACTTAAAACTATCTAATGGTCACCTTCAAGGGTGCATACTTGTCTAATTTTTCTAAAAGTAGTCAAAACAAGTCCTTGAGAAATGATTTACATTAACATGAAAATTCTGGAAAGGGATGAGAAGGCAGGAGACAGAAAACTAAACAAACAAAAAAACAAAACCTCTTTTATTTGGAGAAATATTGGTGAAAAATACTTTAAAAACACTACCCAAGAAGGGGCTGCTGTCCGGCTCAGTCTGTAGAGCATGTGACTCTTAATCTGAGGGTCATGAGTTCAAGCCTCATGTTGGGTGTGGAGCCTATTTAAAACAAAACAAAATAAACCCTAACAACAATAACAAAAAATCCAAGAACCACCCAAGAAATTCTTAGTGAGTACCACAGTTTGTCTATTGAATTTGTGGTAAATGTAATACTATTTTAGGGATGGGGAGGAGGAAAGAGTTACAGACAAAAAAACACAGGCTCTTGTGTTCAAGACACTTAAAAACTGTTGGCTAAGACAATGTGTAACTACTAAGGCAGTGACACAAAGGTACATACTATATCTGCAAGCTCCAGACTTCCACACCCAGGGGACAGTTATGGAGAGTCAACTATTTTCACTTCTCATAGATACTTCAAGTTTTAATAGGTAAAAAACTTGAATTCTTAGTTTCCTCTTAAACTTCTTTGTAAAGATCGCTTTTAGACAACAGGCTTGAGCAGAGGTATGTACAGCAAGGCAAAAGGGCCCAGTGACCACTTGGCTGAATACAGACAAGCCTATCAGGTGACCTACCTCAAAATATCCATCGTCCCTAACAGACCAATGGGTTACTTACAATCAGGAACAGTTACCAAAAAGTTTCAAAGTACCAAAGTACCAAAAAGAAAAAATTCTGTATGTCTCCATACCTCTTCACCTTCCTTCTTGAAATAACAGCCCCACCCTCTTGTGGAGGACGTCTCTTCTTTGCTGTCCTGCCTGCCTCTCGTTTGTGGTATATTCAGTAAACTACCTCCTTTGTGCTGTCTTGGGTGAATTCTTTCACTGCCTGTGCTACCCATTTCCAACCGATCATTGCCCCACATCTGGAGGCCCCAATCTGATCAGACAGACACCACATTTTTTTTTTTTTTTTTTTTTTTACAGTTTTCTCCATCTCAGCAAATGGCACTACTCTCCAATCAGTTAAGTCAGGTCAGTTACCTAGGAATCATCTTTCATTCCCTTTTCCCTCAAATCCCACATTCTATCCATCTGTACGTCCTCAGATCTATTTCCATATCTAAAAACCACCATCCACTTCCCCCCATATATTCTGCCACCACCTTAATTCAAACCATCACCTATTACTTCTGCTGCTGCAATAGCCTCTTAACTGCATGATCTGGTCGCTGCTCATCTCTCAAGGCCCATTTCACCACCTGTCCTTTCTGAATACATTTCAAGCAGCACCGGTCTTTCTTTAAGTTCTTGAACACTCAGGTGCCAAGCTCTTTTCTACCTTAGGGCCTTTGCACAACCTATTCATTCTGGAATGTTCTTCCTTCTATTGCATAGCTGGATCATTTTCATCTTTTAGGCCTTACTCTAAGAGTCAACTCCTCTGTTAAAAAGAAAACCACAGACCCAAAATCGAGTCCATTTAGGCAGGGTCCCCAAATTGATGTTCAACACCTAATCTAATTGCAGTTTTCAACCTTCCGCAGAAATACAGTCTTAACTGGTCAATTAGGATCAAGGCCAACAAGGGCTCTCTCCATCTTATCAAAGGTAATCAGCATGATAAGACTTCTGCTCCCCCATCAGCAGGGAGAGTGACCTTGCTTGGAACAATCCTTTCTTTTGCTAATAACTTTCTAGCCCTACCCTCTTTCCCATAAAAACCTATTTTGTACAACCCTCCCGGAACGCCCTTCTATTTGTTACTAAGATGCTACCTGAATCATTTAATAAAGCTGAATAGATCTTCAAATTTACTTGGTTGAATTTTGTGTTTTAAGACCTCAGAAAGGCCATCCCAAACCAACCTAACTCAGTTTCCCATTATCCTTAACTCCATCCATCAAAGGTTTAAGTTGTATTTGGTGAGGAATCTAACTTGTTCACCATTGTAATACCAGTACCTAGTAACTCTTGGCAAAGGAAGGCACTTAAAACTACCTGCAGGATGACTAACTACTGGGTACTCTGTGACCCAGTCTTGCAAGGTCAGGAAGGGCTTCCTGACTTAATAAAATACAGGTTAAGGAAGGAGTAAAAACTGGCCAAGGTGGGGATGGGGTTAGGTCTGGAGGTGAGGTGGGGTGGTGCATTTGAGGAATTCAAAAAAGACATTCCTTCCACAGGGCTGGAGCCTAGGGCTAGAGTGGTGAAAAAGCTCAGAGGTGCACAAAAGCTAGATGAGAAAGGCCCTGTAAAATAAGTGAAGGAGTTTAGACTTAAGCCTGAGGGCAAAAAGGAGGCAACAAAGCTTTTAAATGTCGGGGAGGGGGGGGGTGCCCTGACCAGATCTGCGACTTATCTTATAGCCTGGCAATGAGGAGACTGGATTGGAAAATAACACAATTGAAGTAAAAGCCGCTGGGAGGCTAGTCGCCTACCTATGTAGCAGTCTTGGTGTAAATTGAATGCATTTGAGATATTCAGAGACTGGTTAAGGGCGAGCTGAAGGTGAGAGAAGGAAGGAATCTGGAAAACTCTTAAGTTTCTGGTTTGAGCACACTGATAAGCACTTTTCCCTCTAGGCCATCAAAGCAGTTTGAAAAGACCCCCTTTCCGGCACCTGAGTGGCTCAGTCGGTTAAGCGTCTGCGTTGGGCTCAGGTCAGGATCCCAAGGGTGCTGGTATCGAGTCCCGCACTGGACTCCCTGCTTGGCGGGAAGCCTGCTTCTCCCTCTGCCCTTCACCCCACTCTTGTGCTTTCTCTCACTCTCTCTCAAATAAATATATAAAATCTTAAAAAAAGAAAAAGACCCCTTTCAGCACGCATTACTCGGCATAGCCCGCAAAATCTCTAATTCTGAGCACTCCAAAAGCAGGAGTAGTACTTTCCCTTTTTGTATTACCGGTTCCAGACGCTCACCCACATCTAGCTCGATGGCTTAGTAAATGTTGAGTAAACGCTAGCTGAACTCTTATCAACAGCAGTGCCTAAAATTTAAATGACTGACCTTTTTCTCTTTACTCTCAGAAACCTTTTACAGAAAAGACTAACTCCTGAAAAAAAAAATAACATAGAATGTCCTATTCTCATTTATAACGACATTGAGGACCTCGTTAGGGGTCTCGCCCTTTTCGCGTCCCGAGAATCTCTTCCCATAGTTCCTCACCTTAAGCTGAGGACGGAACCTGCCCCGGCAAGGCTCGATGGTGCAGACCCCCAGGACTTAGCGACCAGCCAGGCGGCTTCTAATCGAATCTCCCGCGTCCTTTTCCGCCGGAAGTGACGCTTTGGCAGTGGTTCCTCACAGCCAATCAGAAGAAGGCGCCGCCGAGGGTGGAGATTGAACACTGCGTTCTGTGAGTTTTTGGGAACGACCATTTTCGTCAAACTGTGGGTAGAGACAGCGTTTGGCGAATGTTCTTCTCTGACTAGTGGAGTCGTGGCGTAGTCTATAAAGTTGGTTTTGGGGGTAGTATAGGGATCCCAAGAGGTGGTGGTAGCACCCCTCCAGTCGGGGCTCAGCGGGGTGACTGGAAGGAGGAGTGGAAGCTGGGTAAAGGGGTTGGTGGCGAGATGAAGACGGAAGGGGGTGAGGAAGCGGGACCTGAAGCGGGCTGTCCCGAGCCGGGAAAAGAAAGGGGGCGTATTCTGGAAGAAGGGACCAGGACGTAACTTGACCCGGGGCTATGTGGGCCCCGGCGACTCCAGTTAAGGGATGGGTTATGTGGGCAACATGGAGGTTTGGGGTGACCCATGAACAAGAGTACCACAGGAGGTGGTTGACTGACTTAATGGAAGTGGGGTGCAAGGAGCCAGACCGAGCGGTCTGCGGAGTGACCCAGTGTAAGTCTCTACACCTCTCTTGGGGACTCAGTTTCTTCATCAGTAAATGGGAGGGGCAATCATACACGACACACTGATGCGTAAGTTAGATGAGTTGATGTGTGTGCCATTATGTCTAGCGATATAGTGACCTTAGAGAACGCTCAAGAAATTGTCATGGTAGCTGCTATTATTATCATATGGGTTTGCGGAGGGCAAGGGGTGTGGCAATGGAATTGAGGCCAGCAGGGAACAGCTGGAAAGGTGGATCTGTGGAGCGCTCTAGGAAAGGATGGGATTCTGGCGGTCAGATAGGAGGAAGTCCAAGGATGATAAGGGTCGGCTTGGGCTGTAACCGCGATGAAGCTGGACTCTATAGGGGCCTTGCACGAGAGGAACAAGAAAAGTTGCCGCGCCCTCGGGTTCGGGGGCGGTGTGGTTTGGGTGACCAGGTGTGGTTTGGGTGACCAGGTGTGGGCGGTGTTGCCTCGGGGATGAGTGGCTTTGGTCTTCACCGGGGAGGAGCTTATCTGCGGTGGGCGGAGCTGTGGTTGGGCTCGGCTCTAGCTCGCTGCATCTACCCGTCTCGCTCCCACCCGAACTGCAGCCGCCAGCTTGAGGCATGGGGCGTCCCACCGTCCTGCTCCTGCTCTTGGCTATCCTGACGCCCGGGGCCGCCTTCCATGTACCGCCGGCCATGAAGGCCCTCAGCAGCCTGCGCTGGTCAGCCAGTTCCACATTCCGCCGTACTGTTGCCAAGAATTACTCGGTTCACTACATCCAACAGAAGGTAAGGCGGAGCAGGGTGGGTGTGGGGGAAGACTTGATGTTTCGAAGTCTCCGGTGTAATAGACCCGAGTCTAGCACCATAGCCCACCCGGACTTTCAGATCCTAATGCCTAGGACTTGTTCGATCTTTGGCTCACAACTCCCAGAGGGCGACACTAAGTTTCAGTTCTGTTTAATATCTCTCCTCCCGTTACCAGTAATATAACATCAATCCTGGTTCCACACTTTCTTCTGTAATTGGCTATGATAGTCACTTCAACTTCTTCGGCTCTCAGAGGATGCCCTAATTCAAATTCCCCTGACCTCCCGTCAAATTATAATTATTTAATGCCAACTCTGTCTCCTACTCCGTGGTGACAGTCATCCTTTGTCCCTAAGCAGCCTCTAAATACACGTTTCCAATATCTTACTAGATAATATTTAGTATTCAGCCTAAAACGCCAGCCTGTCATCTCTTGCTTAGCTCAAAGTTGATTTTGTAACCCTTTAAGAGTTTTTAACCATTCCTATTCTCCATAAGACTGAACTTATGTGTAGCCCATGCTTGTAGAGGAAATAGTAGGAGAGAGTCAAGATTTGAGGGTGGGGGTTAGCATTTCTATGGTTCTGAAGCTTGAGTTTAGAAGTTTAAAATAGCCTTGATGCCTGTGCTTGGCTGAAGCATAAGGCACTCTGACAAGCCTGGATAAAAAAGCACATCCTGTGTAAAATGACAGGATCTCTTATGGTTCTTTATTTCTGGGAGACTCTGTAAAGATAGGCAAAGTTTAGGGAAATGTGTGGATTAGAAAGAATTTAAGAGTCTGAGATTTGGCTTTTGGAGTTGAATAGAACAGCATACTGCTCTGTTAGCTCTGTGACCTTGGGAAAGTTACAGTACTTCTCTGAACCCAGTTTCTTGGGTTGCCTGGGTGGCTCACCAGGTTCAGGGTCCGCCCTAGGCATTGGTCATGATCCCTAAGGTCCTAGGATCAGGTAGGGCTCCTGCTTAGCAGGAGTCCTCTTTTTCCTCTCCTGCTCCTCCTCCGCTCTTGCTCTCTCCAGCTTGCACGCTCTCTCTCTTTCTCTCTCAAGTAGATAAATAAAATCTTAAAAAAAAAAATGAACCCAGTTTCTTGATCTGGGGATTTGATAATGGTTAAATGGACAGATGATAAGTCCCCAGCAGAGAATTTGGCCCTAAATTTTGAATTTTGGTAGAGGGATTGTATGAATTTGCAACTTATAAGAAATTATTTTTAACCCAGAAATTTAAATTACAGTTTATGAGATAGAGAAAGCATTTTATTTCAGCAGAGGTACCAGGAAACAGGGGACTTTTATTTTTTTATTTTTGAAACGGGACTTTTATTCAGACACCTTATTTAAATTAAATCTGTAGGGTACTGTTCTTCATTTGTAAAATGAGAGGGTTGAATAAGGAACAGCAAAGTACACACTCTAGGGAGGAAAGTTAAGGGCTTTGGAGGAGCTATCTCGGGGTTGGTGGGTGAAGGCCCAAGTGGAGGCCAAGTTAGGGTGTTCTAGCAACCCCTCTCTCCCTGAACTCTTTGAGCCTGAGCTTTTATGCTTTGGTTTATTTCATATATTGGGATTTTATATATGATTATTTGCAGAGTTTTACTGATAAAGTAAAATTGAAGGGGAACTACTGGAATGAGGATTTGAAATCTGAAATCTTTTTAAAAGTGATGAAGGGGCACCCAGGTGGCTCAGTTGATAAAGTGTCCCACTCTTGATTTTGGCTCAGATCTTGATCTTAGGGCGGTAGGATCAAGCCCCATATTGGGCTCCCAGCTGAGCATGGAGCTTGCTTAAGTTTCTCTCTCTCCCTCTCCCTCTGTTCCCTCCCCACACTTGTGCACACGTGCTTGTGCTATCTCCGCCCCCCCAAAAAGAAAATAAGTGATGAAAAAGAGAAGTGTCATGAGAAAAGGGGGAACAAAAGGGAGGAAGAGACCAAATGATCTGTGAGCCCTTAATTTATATTCCTTCATTATATATTCTTTTCTTGACCACTTACCTATTTAGAAATAAAATTTAATATCGGTCCTTTTTCCATTTTTGGTCATTTGATAAATCTAACTTTACTCAGCCACCTTTTGCCCTCTGACTTAGTTTATATTTTAGGACACAGATTCCACATACATGTTTATTACTATAATAATAATTTTCCTTACACCAACTCCAGCTGAGCTTTACTTCATTTTTTGAGAAAACTTCCACATATATATTTATTACATAATAATGATTATAGTAGTTGCTAATACTGGACCATAGATTTTTAGTGGGATTGACTGTATAAACTCAACTTCAATTTTTTTTTTCTTAGAGGACTTGAAATACTTTTGTGCCTTTTGATAATAGACATAATTATTGGAATTGTAAGGCTCAGTTTTTATTCAAGGTTGAATTTTTATCAATCTTTGTAATGATTTTCTTTATCTGTGGTTATATCTGTCCAGTTGACCAAGCCATTCCCAGCTGTCCTTTTATGGACATAAGTCCATGAATGGTCTGGGTATAAAGGCTTAGTCCATGGCCCTTTCCCTCCCCTTTGCTCCTTAACATATGCATATACTTTTAGCAACATAGAACATCAATTCAATTGAATTTTACGGTGTTGGAAATTCTGTCTGGAATACCATTTCTCTTCTCCTCAAACTGATACCTGTATCCTAGCTGAAATGTCATCTCTACTGTGAAGCCTTCTGGACTTTAGGGCAACTTAGTTTGTCTTTTATCACTCTGCACGCTTACTATTTTCTGTGTGTACCCCATGGCTAGATAGTGCTCTCCAGTACCCAGAAGAGCCCATTAAAAAATATAAAGTACAAAATAAATACTTGTTGAGGGAGTGAATGAATGACTATCCAAAAAAAGCCTAAACAAAGCAAAGTCTACCATCATTTAATTGACACATTATTTTTTATTCTTATTTTCGTTTTTTACTTCTCTTCTTCACTAATTATTTTTCCCCTTCTTTCGAAGTCTTCAAATGTTGTTGCTCTAGTAAGAATACTTTTTTATTTGGTTTCTTTTATCTGAAGTAACTGAATCAGGAGACCCAACAAAGGATAGTACATCACTTGGTCACATCTAGGCTTTGGGTACATGTGTGATGCCAGAGTTTTAAGGGGCTCCTTGGAATCTGTGGCTTTTGGTTACAAGGTTTCCCTTCTTCTCATTTCTCTCCACCTCCCACCCTAGCCCCTCAGAATACAATGTGAGTCCTGAGGGCATTTTACTGTGTGATGTAGTAGGAAAAAAGAATGGGTCCTTTGAGGCTCTCTTTTTCCTCAGTGTTACTAGGAAACACTAGTGTTTCTAGTGTTCTCTAGAGAAACAGAACCATGGAATGTGTCTCTCTGTCTGTCTATCCCTCTTTTCACAGAGATTGATTTATTTTAAGGAATTAGTTCTTATGATTATGGAGGCTTGGTAAGTTCAAAATCTACAGGGTAGGCTAGCAGGCTGGAGACCCAGAGAAGAGTTGCAGTTTGAGTCCAAAGAGTCTGCTTGCATAATTCCTTGACCTTAGGAGAGGTCTTGCTTAGGAGAGTTCAGTCTTTTTTGCTCTTCAGGCTTTCACCTGGTTGGATGAGACCCATTCATATTATAGAGGGTAAATCTGCTTTACTCAGAGTCTGCTGATTTACATATAAATCCTATCCAAAAAAACACCTTCATAGAAACATCCAGAATGTTTGACCAAATATATGGGCACTGTAGCCCAGCCAAGTTGACATGTAAAATTAACCATTATTTCTTCCAAGGTTGTTGTGAGGGTTAAATATAGTAACACATGAAAGCACAAGCATAGTGCCTGGGACATAGTAGGAACTTAAGGAACGTAATAGAGTAAATGCTGGTTTCTTCCCCATTCTGTCCTAAAACCACAGTCCCCATAGTGTTAGCATTTCAGATTGATGCAATTGCATGACAGTTGTGGTAATGTCTCTTTTAGAAACTTAATTGGTCAGTAATCTATACTCAACTATTCCTGTTTAACTAATGACCAGTGTTTATTCATCTTGACCCAGCATTAAGCTCATGGCCACTGACTTCTGCAAAGCCTCCCACAGCTCCTTCCTTGTCTGCTATGAGGCAGTCACATCAGTGGGCTAAGCTGTTTCTACTGGTGTATATCTGTTATGGTTCTTTATTTCCTACTCCAGGTTCCCCTTGTCCACTCATGCCACAGTGGCCCTAATGTCTAGTAAAATCCTGATCTTTCTCCTCCTCTCCTTTTTAATTTTTTCCCCTCTTCTCCACTTTTTATTACTGGTTCATCTATTGATGGCTTTCCCCTAAGGCCCAGAGTATATGTCACAAATATTATGCAACTTCTGAATTGATTTCTGTTTTTACTCCTAGAATCATTACCAGAAGGGGTCGTGGAGATCATGTAGTCCACCCTTTAGATATGATGAGGTAACTTTGATCTAAATTATGAAGAGTCAGGAACTTGATAGAGATTACTATACATGTTTGAGAACAAATTATATTTCTTCCATTAGCTGAGGAACTTCAGACAGGTTACTCTGAGCATCTGTTTTTATAATCAGCAAGATGTCTGGGATAGTTATACTGTTCATCTCACAGATTTGTTGTGACATGAGCTAGTATGTGTAAAGGACTTAATAGCACAGTTTATATATTGTTTTACTCAATAAATGATAAATATTTTTATTTTATCTTGAGGTTTCTTAATATATATGGCTTTAACTTACCCCCTCTCCACACAGAATAAAATATTCAAATCATCACTTACCATACCTAAAATAGTTATTCTGGAAAATATGAAAATCTATACGAACTCTTTCAGTAACATAAATAGTATATATATTTCTTTTTATCAGTGGATTATAGTTTAATATACTTGTAAATAAGGCAAAGAAATGCTCCAGTCTGGAAATTGCACATGTCACTTCCTTTCATAATTCTTTGAACCATACTGGTTATATTGCTGCATCTAAGGACAGGGTGGGGAGACAAAAA